CTCCAGCCTCAATATTTCAACCTTCTGTCAGAAGGTTCATCGGTTTTGAGCATTCAGGACTGAATTTTAAACAAGACCTTTCCATTTCTGTACAGAGCTTATAGATTTTAAACCCTCATTAAGTTGCAAATATGACCGCAAAACAACAATAAAGACTAACAGAAGCTTAAAAAAGTGCAGAGATTTAGGTCCAAGTCAAGGAAAGCTTCATGAAAGACACTTGTGAATGAGAAAAGTGCAGAAATGGTGAAGACATGGGTAAAGCGAAAAGTTGGTGAAGATGGAAAAAAATCTGTAGAAAATTGTGGCGAATAAAAAGGAAGTTAAAGGAAAGGAGAGGTACAGTAGTAAAGCAGGGGATTTCAGTCACTTTATAGAGTTTGTTTTTGTTGGAAGGGGTGCTAATGGCTTAATGTGCCTGAAAACACTGGGACCAGTCTGAACAGTCTCACTGGGTTGAACTCGGACATGTTACCTGGTGTGCACAGGTTTGATGCCCAACACCACCCCGACCTGACCAGATGCTTCTGAATATATGATGAAAAGCTAAACAGGGAAGAAAAAAACGAAAGCAAAAAAAGAGAAAAAGAGCTTACTGTGTGTCTTCTTTAGTCTTGTTTGTTAGTTTTAACTGGACTGAAAACACTTAAAGCACTTAAACCTGTCTGACCAGCGTGACCTTCGAGGTACAGAGGTTAAAAGCTTTCTGTTGATAGACGGAGTGACATGGAGGGAGGGGGACAAGAGCAGTAAAAGGAAAACTTTAAGAAGCGAGGTGCAGTAAAGATGCAGTTTGCAGAAGTGGGAGAAAAATAAATAAATAATTGCGGCGTATCAAAAGTTAAGGATGTGCATTTTAAGCTAAAACAAAAAAACACTTCCAGTTTGTTATTAACTATTTAGTTTTTCTTTGAGTATTTATTTAATCATCCCATTCCCACACCCTACCAACTGCTTCTCCAAACTTAAAATCAACTTGCAGCAATCATTTTTCTCACAATGAATACTTATTTTGTCTTTTAGCACAAGTGTCAACACAACAGCAGAGAAGGTCTTCACTAGTGCTATCAGCTGCCACTTGCCTTGGTTGCCTATGCTGACTGCGCCACCCAGTGATGTCATCATTCTCACAGTACTCCCCCCCCCCATACCCCACAAACAATCTCTGACTCATGGTCGTGAGTTTACAGCCAATAACGGAGACTTTAACATACATGCCAAACCAACAAGAACAGGAAAATAACATGAAAAAACAATTGTCACACTCAGAAACATTGTAAACAGTCAGAAACGTTGTAAACAGTCAGAAACGTTGTAAACAGTCAGAAACGTTGTAAACAGTCAGAAACGTTGTAAACAGTCAGAAATGTTGTAAACAGTCAGAAACGTTGTAAACAGTCAGAAACATTGTAAACAGTCAGAAGCATTGCACACTTATACTTTCTACCCAGCATGCTTTGCAACGCCTCTGGGACTTGACTCTCTCACACATTTCACACATCTTCACTTTAATACAAACATATTTATTATCAAGAGAATATTGATGATTATTTATTTATTCTTTTTTTTTTGCCTTCTCCTCTTCTCAGGGGTCGCAACAGAGAATTAACTCGCACAAAGACTTGGCAATTGTTTTTACAACAGATGCCCTTCCTGACACAACCACAGATCGCCAAACTACCACAGCCCTCTGTGTGGAACAGAGAGCTGCCATCTAGGGCACCCAGGGGAGCAGATAGTGGGGGTTAAGAGCATTGCTCAAGGGTGGGGCAAATGAGGGTGGAGGCAGGTGTTGGTGGTGTAAGGCAGGCAGTGCTTCATCTTTCCCACTCACACTTTGATGTTGTTAGTCCGGGGAGTCGAACCGGCGACCTTCTGATCACAAGCCCACCTTCTCTAAACTCTGCGCCACCACTCCCCATAATAATAAAGAGAATATAGATAATGACGAACAGCAACTTTATAGTTAGTTTATAAAAGTATTTAACCACAAAGAGGATCTCCAAAGCGAGTTAATTCATTATAGTAAATGACACGAGGGAGACGTCCGACACATTTAATGCATCATTCTTCTTCAGCCCTTCAGAGTTCTGCTCCGCCTCATTGGTTCATTGGACCAGATTAATTTCTGAAAGCTCACCTCTGAAGGTGACATGGACACTTGTGATTTTACCATTTTAAGTTGTTACAACGTTGTCACATTCAGTCTAACAGTGTCAGCGACAGCAGTGTATGATAAAAGAATGTTTTAGCATTAGCTTCCGCTAATATTTTATCTGTTTAGCGGTTTAGGTTTAGCAAAGCAATTTTTTTTAGTTAGTTTATTAGCAGTTAGTGAAGCTAACTGTGCCCACCACTGGCAACAGACGATCTTAATTTTTTGAAGTGTGGCTGCATTTAGGTGTAAGAAAGGTTACTTTCAAAAATTGGATTGCCACATCATTGGTTTGTGATGATGTATTCTGAAAATAAGACTGAGCTCATCTGCAACCGTAGTTTCCACTTCCACTTTCAAAATAAACTACACAGGCAGAAAAACAGATGCTGGAGATGCTTTGAGTTTTTATCGGTCCTATTTTTTTTTTCAAGGAAGTGTATCCCAACTGGAACGGCGCCAATAGGAACAACTTGGCATACTAATACCAGGTGCTGGTGCAAAAAAACCTAACAAAACTGAACAATAAATAATGAAGAAATCAATGATAGGATGAATGAATGAATGCACAAACAAACAAATAAATGAACAAATTGGTAAATGAATGCATTGATGGATAAATGAATGAATGAATGAATAGTAGTGGGAACCACTATAATTCTTCAGTGTTCTCCCTTTTTTACTAGACTTCAAATAATAGTAATAAAAAAATCCCCAATAGTAATAGTATTAGATTATTTTTTTGTTAAAAAAGACCAATCAGTGCATCATATTTAAAGTTTGAGCTTCTCCTTATTTATTATTTTGTTATTGAGTCATTTTAAAATTATATATTTAATTTGTTTTTAGACAAGGCTTTGCTTCTGAGGGCAAACATTATTAAAATTGTGAAAAACTACTTTTGTTTTTGTTATTGTTTGCTAATTTTCTACAGTTTACCATTGTATTTATTGTAGACAAGGAAGGAAAGGAGAAGTCTTTAGAAGAAATAATGGATGATGGATAGAAGAACGAGTGACAGAGGAGGTAATGCTGCCAGAGCATCAAAGGCCTGTAGAGAAAGCATCTGTTTCTTTACTGTTCATTATCCTCTCTGTCAGTGTAATGAGGTTCTCTTCTTTTATCCTTTTTCATTCATCTTCTACCCTCTTGATGCGTCTATTTAAATAGCCTTGTCTTCTATTCACATTTGTTTTGTTTTTTTGTTCTTGTTGTATTTTACTGTTGAAAATTCACAGTCTACATTTCTCAGACTTTACTTTTTACTCCCTGTTTTCAATAAATGCACACTCTAGTGCATGATTGAGGACAAATACACATTGATACTTGGTCTTCAGTCACCTGTAACAGAAAGAGCCCAGAAACATCACGCCCCATTACACCACGACACCGCCCTGTGTGTGTGTGTGTGTGTGTGTGTCTGACTGCATGGAGCCATTAGCTGTAATATATCCTTTCCTTTCTGTCTGTATTTGATCCCTGTATTTTCTCCCCAGCTTTCTGTTCCTGCCCTCTCTGTTGGTTTTCAGGTATTTGAAAGGAAGCTACAAGTCATCGCCCCTCTCTCATGCTGCGTATAATTTCAGTCTTCTGTTTACCCTCACATACACTTTCACACGCACACACGGGTTGAAGTTCTGGTTAAAGTTGTAACTCTCTGTCGTCACACAGCATGCTGGAGCTTAATGTAAGTTCTCTGTGTACATTAGGAGATCTGTTTAGGACCAGGCATACTGTATCCTGTTCTGTCAACAGCTTAAAAAGCTGACACTCTGAGGTATGCGAGCGCGCGCGCGCGCGTGTGTGTGTGCGCGCGCTTTGTTAACAGGCCTGTTCCCTTGTTCATTATTCACTGTCTTGTTTTATACAAGAGCTGGAATGAAATGAATGTTTCTGTTGCCCAAAAGATAAAACATAACAATAAATCAACCACATTCCCATTTGTAATAACAGAAATGAAGAGACTTTTGTAGAGTCACAATTGGCAGATTAAAATAATAATAATAATAAAAAAACAAGACAAAAAGCAAGAATATTTTCAAACAACATCCTTCCGAGTTCATCAAATTGTGATAACTGCAAAGAAACAAATCTTATTTTGGCACAGTGATGACTATTTGTTGGGATTCCCTTCCTCCTTAGTGACCCTTTTCTTTTAAATTTAATCTCCTTTTAAAACACAACATTAACATTAGTCTGAACAAACCCTAGATGTCTAATTAGAAATATATATTTTATGGCCTCTGAAGGTGCTTTTATAAAAAAAAATAAAAATGCACGTTATGACTAATAAAATAACCTACTAAGTAAGATAACTGGACTGTTCATTTAAATAAAAATAATAATAATTAAAAAAAACATTGTCTGACCATCGCCTCACTTATCTGTCTGCTGGTTTCTTCTCTGATTTTTTTAACCATTTATGTTCTTTTAGTGTCAATCTAAAGCTTCACATTCCAAAAATGAATGGCAGGTAAAAGTAGCATTGTGGTTTGATATCACATCCTACTGGAGCCAGTTTAAAGGGAGCTGATAAAAGACTGCTGACTTTTATAAAAATATAGGTATTACCAAAATTAAGTTTTGCAAAAATCAAAGTGTAAGTAAAGTAAGTTAATAAATATATTTACCTCAAATGCTCATAAATAATAAAATATTCTTGGGTGCAGAACATTTGTTGGTTGATAACATATTTTAATTTCATTTTATTCACAGGTTCTAGAGGAAAAAAGTTTTGCAGTTGAACTGTACAAAGTGTTTCATGTTCCACTTAAGTATTACCATTAGCCATAATTACATTTTTTAATTACATTTTACCTAACACACTGTTTTTCTCTGTCTTTAGGTGTGGGTTCAACCAAAGTAGTTGCTTTTTCGGCTTTCCTCAATGGCCGCTACCCCCCTGCTGACCTGACAGGAGACATCATTGTGTCCTATTTCTCCCCCACAGGTAAAAAAAAAGCATTTGTGATATTCCTCATATTAATTGCTATAAGTTAATTTTTATGTTCAACTGTAACTTTTAATTAGATTAAAATATATAGTAAATGTGCTTTTTCAATTTTTTTTTTCTCTCATGGTTTATACACTGCCTGGCCCCCCAAAAAAAGTTGCCACCAAAAAAAAGGTCACACTAATATTTTGTTGGACCGCCTTTAGCTTTGATTACGGCATGCACTCGCTGTGACATTGTTTCGATAAGCTTCTGTAATGTCACAAGATCTATTTTCATCCTGTGTCATTAATTTTTCACCAAGATCTTGCATTGATGACTAGGCACTAGGCATGATTTGTGCATCACTTCACCTGCCTCTCTTCTTACCTTGATGCACCCATCACTCTGGAACAGGGTAAATCTGGACTCATCAGATCACATGACCTTCTTCCATTGCTCCACAGTCCAATCTTTATGCTCCCTAGCAAACTGAAGCATTTTTTCCAGTTAGCCTCACTGATTAGTGGTTTTCTTAAGGCTACACAGCTGTTCAGTCCCAATCCCTTGAGTTCCCTTCGCATTGTGCGTGTAGAAATGTTCTTACTTTCACTATTAAACAGAGCCCTGAGTGCTACTGTTGTTTTTTGTCGATTTGATTTCACCAAAAGTTTGTGATCGCTGATCACGATCATTCAGGATTTTTTTCTGGCCACATTTCTTCCTCAAAGACGATAGGTCCCCACTATCCTTCCAGTTTTTAATGATGCGTTGGACAGTTCTTAACCCAGTTTTAGTAGTTTCTGCAATCTCCTTAGATGTTTTCTATGTTTGATGCCAATGATTTGACCCTTCTCAAACAGACTGACATCTTTTCCACGACCGCGCCATGTGTCTTTCAACATGGTTGTTTAAGAAATGAGAAGCAACTCATTGCACCAGTTGGGGTTAAATAACTTGTTGTCAGCTGAAAGATAATCGTCCATGCAGTAATTATCCAAAAGGAGGCTCGTACCTATTTGCTTAGGTAAATTCAGGAGGCAACTTCTTTTTTTTTTTTTTTTTGGCCAGGCAGTGTATCACATAACATAAAAACTTCCACTATGCATGTCCAACCAAAACTAAAAGCCAGTGAAAACATAAATGTTTTCAGCAAAATGTACAAAGGCAGGCTTTTCTACTGAAAAGGCTTTGTCATCTCCGTTTTTGGACCTGCATTTGGAAACATCCGAGAGTAACTGATCTGTGGACCATAGCTCTCTGGCATTAGTGGAAAGGTGTAGAAGTTCAGACAGCCTTCATGCTTGCTCAAGATGAGAGTCTGCGATTGAGTTAAAAATGTAGTCTGCTCCTCAGATAAATAGTGTTAACTTATTATTTTTATATATGAATATTTCTGTTCAGTGCCCTGAGATGTATTCTGTTATGACTCGGTGCTATATAAATAAACTGAATTGAATTGAACTGAGATAGGGTGGTGCCACATAATTAAGACTTAAAGTTCAGTGCACAATTCCAACCCCTCCAAAAATAAACTTGTAGTAAATGTAAAAAGAAAACTCTAACATTCAACTAGAATGAGCATTATCCTAAAAAGCATAATGGAGTTAACAACTTTCTAAGCATCTTTTCCAGTGTTGCGCTGTACACCATCTACTAACAAGAGTGTGTTAAACTGGAGCAATAACGATTGGGCTCTTTCCAGAAAAGCTCAGTTCATCCCCTCGTTGCCTAAAGGCATCTGTTTCCAGGACCTGCAATATTTCTGGAAGATATAACTTTCCAAAGCAACAAAACCACTCTTTATTTGAAATGTCACAGCCCTCCTTAAAAAAAAATAAAATAAAAATCAGCATTTGTTCAGAAATCAGGTCATTGAAAAAGTTTGTGTTTGTGTGCTATTGTTTCCCTTGGAATACATTTGCTTTGGCAGACCTCCGCTGGTGGAGCAGTTTTTCCTTCCCAGAAGCACATTTAATGTGAAATGTCTGGAAATATTGGGAAGTGTTTCTGTCTTGTTACGGGTTATTGTGATGCTAAAAATAGTTTAAAATAAGTAGTCTGGAGTATTTCATTTGGCTTAAAAGTCAAGCAGCTTGTAGAGTGTGGGTAGAAAAGTCATTCTAGTTCCTGGAAGAGACCTGCTGGGATGTTGGTATTACAAAAGTCCTATTAAAATTTAGCAGCCGATGGTGCACAACAGAATGGATAAAATAAAATAAAAAGAAATTCAGACCTACGTAGGTGCTGAGGTAGAATCAAATATCTGCGTAAATTTTGAACTGAGATAAATGGCAAAATCAAGGCGAGGGGAAGGGAAGGCTGAGATTGTCACCATTGTATGTTCCCATACAATGGCAAAATTAATTATCTGCATTTAACCCATCACATGTGAGATACACCCAGGTGGAGCAGTGGGCAACTATGTAAGTGCCCGGGGAGCAATTGGGGATTAGGCGTCTTGATCAGAGACACCACGACATGTGGGCATGGCAGGGAGTCGAACCGCAACTTTCTGGTCTTTTTGCTGCCCTACCTCTACCTTATCTCGGCCCCCTAAACCAAAAAATCTATAGACCCAAATATTAGGGATGCATGATATTGGATTTTTGTCCAATATCCGATATGCCAATATGTTAAGAAAACTTATTTGACTGGTAACTGATTCGATACCCATATTTAATATACAATTCAAGGATTCAAGATTCTTTGTCATTCCACCACATGTGGTGGAACAAAATTATGTACACAGGGTCCCAGTTACATCCATCAAAAGTATTCAAATGTAAAAGACAAACAGTAATAAGATCTAAGATATGAACTAAGAAAAATGCTAATAAAAATACACCAAGCACTAACAGCATAAAATAGCATAAAGACAACACACCGAACAGTATGAGTCTGTGTGAGCAGATGAGTACAAATGAACGCAGCAACATGAAATAGTGTAATACTTTCCTTTGTCAGAACAGGACTCTCTTATTTCTCTTTTTTCTCTTATTTATTCTCTTATTTATGTTTGCTACCAAATTGTGTAACAGCTGTAAGAGCTGGTGACATATATTCAGTAAAAGCCATATGCATAGCACTTTGTTATATTAAATGAAAAGTGTTAAATGCTATTTATTAGCATTAGTCACCTGCGATGCTGTCTCACTCGTGGATGCTTGTTCCAGGTTCTTAGCTGCAGTGTGAGATCCTCTGTACTCTTGATCATGAAGTACAGCCTTTTTAAGTTCAAAGTTTTTGTCTATCCATTGTGCCGTAAGACTAATCATGCTAACGGGGCCAACACTTGACGTCTGCAGTAAAACTCACCCAAGTGCTATCGGCTTTTAGCTTCTCAATGACATCAGAAATGACGGCTTGTAACTCAGGTAAGGCTACATTGGAAAAATATCTCTGACTGGGGACGATGTAGCGAGGCTCAACATAGTCCAAAAATCTTCAGAATCCGACATCCTCAACAAGAAAAAAAACTTCCACACAGCCGACATTTTGACTTTTTCCTCTCTGCCGTGATCAGATCAGGTATGCGTGCGTGATGTCATCACGTTGTGCTGGTGCTACAGGCATCCTTGTCACTGGGTTGTCATACAAAAACAGCATCTTTTATATCGGTGAGTTATTTTGATGGAATGGCCGATGTCCGATATTTAACTTTAACACTAATATCGGCCGATACCATGCCGATAACATCATGCATCCCTACCAAATACTGTACGTTGGTTCAAATAATAAGAAATTATGAAAGGCTATACTAAGCTGTTTATGTCAGGAGGGAACAGAGAAAATAAATCAGACTAAATGAATTAAAAAAATAAATTTCACACTTTATGTTGTAAACCAAATTTCAAGATCCTAAAACATAAATTGATACTGTTTAAGATGATCAAATCTGAATGTATGAACAAACAATCATATTTGCAGTACATCATAACGTTCCACTGTTTTATGAAGGCCTGCGTTGGTCTGAAACACTTTGGTAAATTTAGCAGTGAACCATCTTGTGGAGTCATATCCCATGGTGATCTACAAAGTGGTCCTTAAAAGCGTGTGTGTAAATGTGAGAGAGAGGGTGATTGTTATTTCTTGGTTGTGTGCTAATCTGCAGTAATGCCTCATCACCTCTTATCCCTGAAAATGCTGTTCTGGCTTGGGAGGAATGCATCACATTGTATTCACTGCCACCCAGGGGTGATGATTATGCCTTCACATCACTCACCCTACATAACCCAATCACACCCTGAGGCTACTGTGTCCTTCTTTAAGCTCTACAAAGGATTTGACATTTAAGACGACTGTTGACTTCTTAAAACCTTCAAAGGAGGCTTGATGATAGCAAGAGTCATTACAATCTAGAAGGAATTTCATTAGTGCTCCTCTGTGATTTTCCTAATACTCTAAGAGTGGGCTTTATACAAACACACTTGAGAGGGATCAAGTGGTCAACTCGGCATTAAGAGAACATTGTTAGATTACATACAATGGGTAGTTTCCTGGGCAGCACGGTGGCACAACTGGTAGAGCTGCTGCCTTTCAGCGAGCAAGTCCCTGGTTCAAACCCCGGTCCAGGGGCCTTTCTGGGTGGAGTTTGCACGTTCTTTCCGTGCATGCGTGGGTTTTCTCCGGGTACTCCGGTTTCCTCCCACAAACCAAAAACATGCATGTTAGGTTGATTTGGTAACTCTGAATTGTCCATTGGTGTGAGTGAGAGAGTGAATGGTTTGTCTCTATGTGGCCCTGTGATGGACTTGCGACCCGTCCAGGGTGTACCCCGCCCTCGCACAGTGATTGTTGGACATGGGCACCGGCGACCCCAGTGACCCAAAATGGAAGAAGTGGGTAAAGATAATGGATGGATAGATGGAGGGTAGTTTCCTTTAGAGGTGTCTTTACTCCAACACACTTGATATGAATCAGTGGGTGAAAGGCTTCTGCAGAACATGAAGAGGTCATTCAACCATTGGATCAGGTGTGTGGGAAGCAAGTAAAATGTGCAGGATAGTGGCAGTCAAGGACCAGGTTTGGACAGCCCTGTTCTAGAGTGACGATATCTTTACATGCTGATGTCTCCTTAAGCTGCAACATGTTACAACGTCCTTGGTTTTTTTTTTTGGGGGGGGGGGGGGGGATCTGCTTTGGCAGGCAAAGTTGTAAGCCAAGGAACTTGCAAATCAGGATAGATTTGGATTGGGATAAAAAAGTACTTTTAACTGTGTTCTACATATCTCATGAACTACTCTAGTAGCTATTTATTCTAGTGTTTTGTAGGTATCTACTATGTCCTGTTTTCTACTCTTATTGAAACTTATAGATACTTCTGTACAGAACCTTTTCATTTGTGTTTTAATGATGAGTTAAACACATCCTCTGTTCCCTTTTGGCAATTAAAATAATGTTGACACTATTGTGACTTAACAGTGCGAACAGTGTCATGGTTCCAGGGGTGTCAAACTCACTAAAGGGAACCAAAATTAAAACCTTTTTCAAACTGAGGGACAATTTCAGAACCATTAACTCAAGTCAGATATCCAACATCTTTTCTTGGTTGCAGGTTCCTCAACAAGAGTTTGATTGTTCTCATTTGATGTTCTTTTTTGTGATTTTGAAATCATAATCAAAGATTGCTGGAAAAAAAATCAAGTGAGAAAGATATTTTACATTTAACATGTCATCTTGGGGGCCAGGCAAGATGTCAATAAGGGCCACATTTGCCCCCCGGGCCTTGACACATGTGGGTCAGGCTGCATGCTCCACCTTCCACTTCACCCACACTGCTTATAAATACCTTTTTTTTAATTTTTTTTACCAACTCAGAGCGGTATCACAGATAATTCAACTTTAATCTTTAATTCTATACCGTAGTTCTTCCACACGTTATGGAACAAAGATATTTTGAAAGATGTCTTACAAGGACACAAAGAGTATTACATTTAATATTTTTGAAATATTTTATATTATCCATAATTTAAAGTTTTCTTAAACTGTAATTTGCACAGAAACGCTGCTGAGGAAACATGGAACAGAAGAGATATGTAGAAAAATATAAAAGTGCTATGTGTTGTCATCATTGTATGTTCCTATACAAAGACGAAATTGGTTCTCTGCATTTAGCCCATCGCACCTGGGATACACCCAGGTGGAGCAGTGGGCAGCTATGTAAGCTGCCCGGGATTGGGTGTCCTGCTCAGAGACACCACGAGATGTGCAATGACCAGGGATCGAGCCCAGGACCGTCGGGTCCCGAGTCACCTGCCCCTTCACCATCTCGGCCCCACATTTTGTCTTAACATAAGCAGTCGATTGCAGATATTTTCACAAATCAATTAATATTTTAATTAAATACTGGCTCACAGTTATGAAACTTTAAACTTTTCTTTTTTTAGCTTCAGCTAATGGACCTAAAATTTCACTCATTTTAGACCATTCAGCAGCCAGTAAGTGTTTGCTGTGAGAACATCCCTGCTTTATTTTACACGTCTCTTATGTTAAGTCAGAACTTTGACTTAAAATGGGCTTTTTATCTCTTTCTATTTGTTATTTTGTCCTTTCGTTTCTATTATCTTCCTCCTCGAATTTTACTTTTGTCTTTTTATTTGGCCGTGTACTGTTACAATCTCAATTTCAAATTTAATTTACAATTTCAAAATTACTTAATACTGCTCAGAAGGAAGAAATCACAGGGATTTATTGCTTTGTGCTCAGGTTGGAGTTCAAATTCTTTATTACCATAGTTTTATGGTAAAACAAAACAGGTCTCTCTTTAGTCACTAGGTCAATAAAAATAATATATTTAATGGAGCATATCTAAAAATATATATATATTTGAGGCAGATTACCATCAGTTTCCATTTGTATAACATTGTTTTGAAAATGTTTTGAAATCCAACACTAATAAAGACACAAGTTCAGACGTGTTAATATTATAACAGTGTTAGTATTTTTATATATAAACAAACAATCTGATCTATTGAACACAGAAATGGTCCAATTACACAGTGAGAATGACTGTGGCAGAGATCGTACAGGAAAGCATGACTTTGATTAAGTTTAATAAAACGTAGAGTTTTTGAATCAGCACCTCGTTGCCTTTTTTATTGGCCTGCACCTCGTCCATCTGCTTCCCATTCACTTTCGCAGGAAATCCTTTTCAACCAATCAAATCAAAGCGTAATCTCAGACTTCTATCATCGTGGCTAAAAGGTTAGAGAAGCAGTAGACAGCCTGTTTAAATCCCAGAGCAGCTGGGGAAACATGGCACTGAGGAGCAGGGATAAAAGATCCTCTCAGAAAAAAATAAAAATAAATACACCTTTTACAGGCTTCGAATAATTTTCACATTTTCTACTCATTTTAATAGCCGTTAAGCATTTGATTAAAACCCCCCACATATATCTATATATATCTATATCTATATCTCTCTATATATATATATACTGTATATATATATATATATATATATATATATATATATATATATATATATATATAAAATCACATTCAATTTTACTTCATATAAATGTCAAAACATCAATCCTTTCTCACTATTACCTCTGTAACAAAGTCTTCACACTGATCAGTTTATAAGGACACGTTTTGCTGTATTTTTCAAACCTGTGTTTATTATAACCTTGACTCTAGGAGCTTTTACATTTCTGATTTGGTCATCTCATCTAACTTGTGGTTTTGCCTAATTTAAGAACTTCATTCTCCTTCAGCTTCACTTTTCAAGCGTACATGAAAGAAAAGGCAAAAAGAAATCCTTTCATGTGTTTAGGGTTTATGCACAGTATATCCTCATGCATTAAGCTTGTATTTTCTTATGGAGCCGTGCTCCGTTAAAATCACTCTTTATCACTGGCCTGACATGAATAAAAACAGACAAGTAGAGCAAAGCCTCTTTATTATGCCAAATCGGTTTCTCTGATCTTTCATGATTTTTCTTTTTAACGTTTAACTCTTCTCTTCCTATTTTCCACAGAGCTTAATCCCAAAGGTAAGTGTTGTGTTAGAGTTGAGTAACGTAGAAAAAGTAGAAACAGGTGTTGTCTTTATTAGAATGGCAAATAGATTTTGTAGAGGCAAACGTAGTAATTCTATCCTGTATATAAAGAAAAGATAAGGCTCATATTCTAACATATTTACTGTTCTGTACACTGGGAGTTGCATTGTTCATCAACAACTCTAAATACTTTCCAAACACGCACGCTACTGTATATACAGGAAGAAACTGCTGAGTGTTTATATTCCTGTTATGCGATACTTGGCAAGAATTACACAGACGGACGGGCTCTTACACATTTCCTCACTCAATGGAAAATGTAAATATGCATTTTTTTTTTATCCATTTATCCTTTTATACTCTGTGGAGTTTACACAGAGATATCATCTGTCTCACATTCATTGCGAGAAAGAAACACTCAGACATTTATGTTTTAGCACACATTTTGACACATTTCTCTATAATTGTGAGGACTTCTTTTGATATGCTTTCTCTTGCAAGTTATTTTAAAATAAGTTGTGTCTAATCCAAACCTATACTTTAATTCTAAAAACAAGTTTTGACTATTAAACCATGGCAAAATCACTAAAATAAGTATAAATAATACTAAACTAGATGTACAGACACATGTTCCAGCAGTCATTTTCCTAATGTTTGTTTTAGTTTGTATACTTTGATATATAATATGATGCCCTTGTATCTATAATAAACTTTAGAAGCTCAGAGTAGAGAATATGTTGACCTCAAAATCACAAATGAGATATTATGTGATGCTTCGGGCGTTCATAGTTTTGGTTTAGGGGAATTGCAGAAAGAACCATTATTTAAATTACACCACATCTGCCTGGAATCCTAATTCGTAACAGAAAAAAAAAAGATAACAAAGATGGGAAATCTAGTTTTTTTTTTTCCACGTCAAGCTAGGGTGCATGCTATAACTGAACTTATCATTTCAGTGCAATAAATTATGGACTGCAGCTGCGTATGAGAAAAGGGTATTTGAGAAGTGGATTTTGCTGTGATTGTTTCGTTTTATCGTTCCCCTTGTGGTTCACACAAACATGCACGCTGCGCCCGCACATGTGTTTGATACCCACACAGACACACTCGGGGGGTGACATCACTGCAGCTGTGGAAAGAACCTGATCCTGCACAGTGTTCCTCTACTCAAATAAACTTTATCCGCTTTGTTTTTTCCCCATTTCTCTTACACACACCTCAAACACGCAAATACAGGCAGCTCTTTGCAATCACTCGTCCAACAGTCAGTGGCGGTCAGTTGTGATTTTATGTTGATAAAGCTCAATTTCACACAGCCCTTTAAATTTAAACAACAATCTAGAAGTTTTGCATCATGACTAACATGACTAACAAAAAAAAGGGGGAAATACATGGCACATTTATTGACAGAAAAACGTACAATTTAAAACTTGTTACCAATATGCAAGACTGTGTAAGAGTGATATAAATCTGAACATACTACAGTTTTTGGCTATCATAGACAAAATCTTTCACTGTAAAAGAACTGTAGGAAAGTTTTTGGTTGTGAGTTTGAATCGGCGGTCTGTGGTCACTCAGTGTAATAGAATCACTGACAGCCGATTTAATTCTCTCAGGACCAAAGACAACAAATATCAAGCACTGTCAGAAATTTTCTTGGAAAACCGTGCAGTCTGCTGTGTCTGACCTTTTTTCCCCCAGCCACAAGTGTGTTCAGTCTCCTTCCTTCTTAGAGTATGGATTTGATATTAATACAGTGGAACAGGTACAAGTCCAGCACAATTTTTAAATTTGCAGTTTGAGCTGGTCCTAACCAGTGCCACAATGTTCTGATAGCGTAATGTTTGACATCACTAGATGACTTCTTCCTCTTCAACAGCAGCAATCTGCTGTTTTTCATTCCATTATTCATGCGATCACTTTTTCCATTGAAACATGTATATTTTTAGAACATTAACCTGTTTGTGTTGCAGCGCTGACAGACTCTGAACCAGTATTTGAAATGTAGCTCCTCAGTAGGTGGCTCACTCCACAATGTTTGTCTGTAAGGCTCGGTTCTGTTCAGTCTCCTGAAAACAGAGGAGGAGTCATAGATGAGGGAAAAATCTTAACAGTGTCCAGACAAAAATTAACACTTCATTAGGGAGAGAGAGAAAAATCCCTTCATTTCGGTCGAACCATGGGCTCTTTGTAAGCCATGCCAAACTCCCTCTGCTGACAGAGATAAACTAAAAATGCATCTAGTCAGTATTTTTTATTGGGATATCTCAATAAAAAATAATCTGTTTGTCCCTCAAATTTGCTTAGACAAATTCTCTTCAGTCTACTCTGACTCTTATTCTGGTCACTGACCAAAATATTAAAGTTACATGTTTTTACTGCTCTTGAAAAAGTGCAGAAAGGGGATGATGTACTAAAATCACAACCACAACGTTCCTAACTTAACTACCATATTTTTTGCTGTATAAGTCGCACAGTTTTTGCATAAATTAACATGCCTTGCGACTTATACAGCAAAGTGACTTATTTATGTCCCCCCCCCCCCTCATATTTATAACCCAATTTTTGGCTGAGATCTGACAATTTCATTCATTCTGACATGGAAAACATAGAACACTACCATTTTCAGCCACTAGAGGGCCATCGACTAATATGGCAAGCCAAGTGTCTCATTAATAGGTAAAAGTGGCTATTAATGTGACACTTGGCTTGCCATACCAAGCCACCTTCGTCTCGCTCCGGAACTCCTGGAGCAAATGTCACATCAGCTGCATTTCGCCACATAGATGAAATGCAGCTGATTTGACCATTAAAGTGCATTTATTAAGGAAAAGTTCAACCGAGACACACCTTTGCTAAAATGTCAAGTAAATAATTGTTTTTAGGTGGTTATCTTGGTAAATTTAGAAGAAATGCACAGCGAGTCGTCCCTCTGCACGCTCCCACAGCCATGAATCAGCTTTTGAAATGCAGTTGATCTGACCATCAAAGTGCATTCATTAAGGAAAAGTTGAACTGAGACACAACTTTGCTATAATGTCAAGCAAACGAATAATTGTTTTTAAGTGTTAAATTCTTGTTAAGTCTTCCCGTGCATGCTCCTGCGGCCGCCATTTGGCAGCTAATTGATTTTTGGCACAACACTGGCCCACGTTTCCGGGTGGTCAGCGGTGATGCGTAACAAATGTGACGCGTCAGCGGTGACTCAAAATAGATGCAACTTATACGGCGAAGCAAAGTATTTGTTTTTTTCCCCCACTTTATTAGACATATTTGGACTGATGTGACTTATACGGCGGTGCAACATGTACGGCGGCAAGTACTGTAATTCCTAAAAAATAGATCAAGATGTCCAAAAAAGAAAGGGACACACATTCCACGCAGTATGGTACTGTCACTTTATTGTCGTCCACTGTAGTTTATTTATTTGATTTTGTATTAGAGTTTGTAGTGAAAGCAACTAGTACACCACAGAAAATAGATTTTCTTTAAGGTTTGACAGTTTACTGACTGTTTCATGTAGTGATTCATGTTTTAACTCAGCCTCATAAAATGGTTTTAATATCCTCACTGATATACAGCCTCTGTGCAGAAACAACTCTGAAGGTAGAACTTGGGAATTAAGGTGGAAAAATAAGGGTTTCATAAGCATACAGATGTTCAAACACTAAGAAGTTACTAGTAAACAGACGCTTAGGTCAAAGAATGTTTCTTTTTTGAAGTTCCTCTAGAGTTTTCACTCCTTTCTGTCTTCATCTGTCTTTAAATTTAAGTTAATTTTGTCTGTCTTTTTTTTTTTTTTTTGCCTTAACTTGCTTCTAGTCTTTTTTCCCCCAGCTATCGGTTATAGCAGATAATAGTTTTTTTTTTTTTTTTTTTACATAAAAAATTATGTAGCAAAGAAAGATAAAAAAAAAAAAATGCTGGTAAAACAGGTATTTGCGAATGAAAAACATTTTGCAAACGTAATACTTTGTAGAGATTAGCCAATAGCAGAAGTTGTAATGTAACCAGGGCTTAATTTGAGCTGGATCCTGCCGGAACAGGATCTGGGAACTCTTATTTTGACAGGGAGCATTCTGGTAACTGTTTGCTTGGATCCGGTAACTCTCTTACTAATACCAAAAAAGTCCATGCTCAATAATCCAGGTATACAATCCAACAATTTTCAGTCAGGTCATCTGGACAGTTTCTTTTTTTTTTATTTTATTTTATTTTTTGCTGAAATGTTTCTTACTAATATCCTGATGCATGCTCAATAATCCAGGTACAAAAATCTAAAAAAGTTAAATCTGGTCCTCTGGACATTCAAAAAAAAAAACAAAGCAAAACAACACTCTGAGAAGGATCTCTGATCACTCTGATCCACTCTGAGAAGGTGCTATTTAAGAGACTGAGCTGAATACAGCACCTCAGACTGAGGAAGTCTCTTGGATGAGAGACTAAACGTTTCTACATTTTTTTGTTGTTTTGCTTTGTTTTGTTTTTTTGAATGTCCAGAGGACCAGATTTAACTTTTTTAGGTTTCTTACTAATAATAAAGTTATGAACAAATTTGACTGCCTTGAACAAATAAAACCTACAGTATATTGGATATCTAATCTGAAAATAATTAAATAAACACTAATTTTAAACATACCAGACACTTACGAGCATCCTGATATCACACCAGCGCTGCCCCTTCAAGTAAGCATTTTGCTAATTTTTTAATATAATCTCCGCCCCTAAAAGTTAAATCTTGGGCAATTTAATTAAAAACACAAAAATATAATTAAACAGCACAACTAAATTGCAAATCAGTTTTACAGTTTAAGTGGGTCTTTAATAAAATGTGGATTATTTATTAAAAATACAAGATAAATGTTTGATGGGTATGTTACGTATATCATGTATCAAAAACAACGGTGCCAATTTGCCAAAATAACAGTGATCAAAATGTCAAAAAGTCTGTTCAATTTACTTGCCTTTAAAAAAAATCTTCTCAATGTACAACTACCATATTTTTCGAACTATAAGGCATGCCAGATTATAAGGTGCATTAAGCAAAACAAAACAGTCATATAAGTCAAACTTTATTCAACTCATTCACAATAACTCTCAACATTGTTCAGTTGTACCACATAAAATAAGTTCAAGGTCAGTAAACACAGCCAGAATTAATATATAAGGCTCACTGTCGATTTTTGAGAAAATTAAAGGATTTTAAGCGTGCCTTATAGTCCGAAACATACGGTAAACAACCGAGAATTGAAGCACATGAAGGCAGTGGCAGTGGAGATACTACTGGAGCAGGGGAGAGAGGTGTATTTAAAGCTATTTGTAATTCTATTTGCGTTCTGGCATCGTTTGGTTTACAAATTAAGCACTGAATGTAAGTGAATCATTTACTATGTATAGCTAAAAACTTACGGCATAATCACACTGACAACATGTTTATGTAACCTTGTGTTGTGTTTTTTGGATATGATTTGTTATTTCACTATTCAGTCACCCAGAACAAAAGGCCAATGGTAAAAGTAACCCTCCTGCTGCCATTGGGTCCAAATAACCCAAGAGGCCTCATAGGTCATTTTGACCCAAAGGCAGCAGGAGGTTTAAGCACGTGGGTGAAGAAATATAATTTCAGTCCTTTCTTTTTTTATTTCTTTATTTATTTTTTTAAGTAGATTATTTTCTGTACCTGTGGTCTTTATTCTTTCTACTATTTTTCTTGGCTTTTCTTCGTGTCTCTCTGCCTCAGTTTATGCACTGCTGAACAAAATGTAATTATTCACATAATCACATAATAATTGCTTGTCTGGAATGAAACAGTGCACAGTAGTTGAAGGTAATTTTTAATATCTGTAATAGCATGGAACTTTCCATAATTAATCTGTCCCTCCCTTCCACCGCGGCTGTCAATTTCAATTTTATTTCTGTTTAATTCCTTTTTATTCTGGTTTATTCCCACTGTTCTTTGTGCTCAGCTCAGGTTTTATCCCCCTCCTGTTGTTAGTGCACCTCCTTTCCCCTGGTTACCTTGTTTCATCTGTTCTTAACTGTTTTCCTCCACCCGTTTTGCCCTTACTCTGTTATTCTTGTTAAGTATAGATTTCTGCCAAGTTCAGCGCTGCAAAGGATCAGAATATAGTTGTCGTTGGCCTTGACTAACTAACTTTCTTTCTTTCAGTCTGTCTTTTGCATATTTTTTCCTCTTCTCACAAAACTTCCTTTTTGGATATCTGTGTTGATATTAAGTCCCTTAGCTCTTGGTTGTTTAACCTGAGCGTCTGCAGTACTTACCGTGTTAACTAATGTTGACACGAATATTGTTTGGAAAGAAAACCGTAAAGGTGATTTGGTGACCTTGTTTGATTTCCAAACAGTCTACCAACTCTAAATCAAATGTTTATCACGAAAAAGCATTAGTAGAAATAAATCTTGCAAATTTAATTGGGTTGTAAAATCACTTTAGTAAAGTCAAAACATTTGAATTCTAAAGGTTTTAGAACGAAAGGCCAATGGTAAAATTAAATATTTTACTTTTCCTTAGGAGTTCCCCGTGTTCTCCAGTCCAGGTTCAGTCTTCCTCTGGCTTTGGTGTGTGCCCCCTCATCGCCTGCCAAAACCACCAAGTTTAAAGTCACCGTGGACACCAACCAGCCACCAGTTGACCTCAGCTCCATTTTCCGAGGTAACACTCAGACATTCATGCCCAAACCCTCATACATGCTGATGCAGTTGTTGGTTTCCCAAATGAGCAAGACTTTGCATTTGATCTGAGTTTACATCTGTAAACCAAAATCATATTTATTTAAAAAAAAAAAAAAAACGTCTTTGAGGTTTTTTTTTTAAGACTGGCCCGAGCAAGACGGACAGCAGTAACATGAGGACTACTATAGTTAGATTAGGTTTATTTGTCATATGCAAAATCAACACGAGGTCAACAATGCAATGAAATGCTTAGGACGACTAGAACCGTCTGACTCCCCAAAAAACAACAACAACAAGAAATACCAAAGCATGCAGCAAAAATACTAAAACCATACTAAAAAGTACTACTAAAACACTAAAAAAAAATTAAAATACAAAAAGCATACTAAAAATACCACTAAAATACTCAAACCATACTAAAAATACTACTAAAATATAAAAAAAATCTTAAAAATACTACTAAAATACTAAAAAATACTACTTACAAAAAAAACTAAAATACTAATAAATACTATTGCCATACTAAAAATACTAATAAAATACTTAAAAAAATACTAGAAATACTACTAAAATACTAAAAAAACCATACTAAAAATACTACTAAAATACTAAAAAAACATACTAAAAATACAAACCGGATTCCAAAAAAGTTGGGACACTAAACAAATTGTGAATAAAAACTGAATGCAATGATGCGGAGATGGCAAATGTCAATATTTTATTCATAATATAACATAGATGACAGATCAAAAGTTTAATCTGAGTAAATGTAACATTTTCAAGGAAAAATATGTTGATTCAAAACTTCACAGTGTCAACAAATCCCAAAAAAGTTGGGACAAGTAGCAATAAGTGGCTGGAAAAAGGAAATTGAGCATATAACGAACAGCTGGAAGACCAATTAACACTAATTAGGTCAATTGACAACATGATTGAGTTTAAAAAGAGCTTCTCAGAGTGTCAGTGTCTCTCAGAAGCCAAGATGGTAAGAGGATCACCAATTCCACCATTGATGCGCAGAAAGATAGTGCAGCAATACCAGAATGGTGTTACCCAGCGTAAAATAGCAAAGACTTTTAAATTATCCTCATCAACCGTGCATATCATCAAAAGATTCAGAGAATCTGGAACAATCGCTGTGCGTAAGGGTCAAGGCCATAAAACTCTACTGGATGCTCGTGATCTCCGGGCCCTTAAACGTCACTGCACCTCAAACAGGAATGCCACTGTCAAGGAAATAACAGAATGGGCTCAGGAATACTTCCAGAAAGCATCATCAGTGAACACAATCCACCGTGCCATCCACCGTTGCCAGCTGAAACTCTACAGTGCAAAGAGGAAGCCATTTCTAAGCAAGCTCCACAAGCTCAGACGTTTGCACTGGGCCAGGGGTCATTTAAAATGGAGTGTGGCAAAATGGAAGACTGTTCTGTGGTCAGATGAGTCACGATTTGAAGTTCTTTATGGAACACTGGGACGCCATGTCATCCGGACCAGAGAGGACAAGGATAGCCCAAGTTTTTATCAACGCTCCGTTCAGAAGCCTGCATCACTGATGGTATGGGGTTGCACGAGCGCTTGTAGCATGGGCAGCTTGCATGTCTGGAAAGGCACCATTAATGCAGAGAACTATGTTCAGGTTCTAGAACAACATATTGTAGTGAACCAGATGACCTCAAATCTACCAGATGGACAGAGACTGTTATTTTCATTGATCTGAATGAGTCTGGGCCATCTGATGAACTTTCTTTCTTGAATTAATCAAGCAGAAAAGACAATTCTTTATAATCATTACTGTCTTACAAATGTTTTGATAATCAAATTGTGTTAGTTCACTCAATGCTTTACAGGTTGAAAAGAACTACTAATTTTTATTTTACATAAACAGTAAGTAATGATTTTTGTTCCTCATTCAGAGAAGAAATCACCTGAATATGCCTTTCTTGATTTTCTGTCTGAAATGAGCAAGCTGTCGTAAGTATGTGAAAGGTTGGTCTTCGGTCAACTAAAATGTTTACTGAAGAAGAAATGTCATGTTTAAACTTTTTCAGAAGATTACCAAGAGTAGACTCCAGAAAGTCTGCTGCTTCTGCAATAATCTTTTCTGTATGTTAAACAAGTTTCATTCTCTGACCTCGACTGTTGATAAACACCTTACGTCAAAAACACACCTCTTTCTGGTCCTTCCACGAATCAGAAAGCTCTAAACTGAACAGGAAGTAAACTCATTTAAAATGTGACAACTGCCCAGTTCAAGTTAGAATGAGAGCTGACAACAGATTGAGAGTTCTGGAGAACGTGAGAGTTCCAAGATTGAGAGTGCAGTCGGTTCTGAAAGCTTCAGAGCAATGAAGAATCCAGAGGTTTTTTGGGGATTATAATTCTGTTTTGAGCTAATCAACGCACGACTTTCTGAAGGTTTGGTAGCTCTCGACGGAGACGCTGAAACGAGTCAGAAAGGAACTACATCCAACGCTGATTCATCATCAACAGGTAGATGGTTCTATTTTGACCAAGTGTACCGTGAGAAGCTGAGATCGGACGGAGCGTGCAACTTCTGGTCAAACAGATTAAATTCCCTCACACATTTCCTCTGTAAGATAAATCTCAATTTAATCTTAAACTCTTCTCTCTCATAAATCAGTACAGATATTTTTAGAAATGTCTGAAGCAAAGTCCTCAAATCACCGCCGAGTGATTTGAAGTTCATTTTCTGTGAAACTGTCTGTTATTATTTTCATATTTTGCCAAATTAATGTAAATGTTTGATGTTAAACTTTGATTTTGAAAATAAATGATTCCATTCATTTGATGGGTCAAAGATAAATAACGTCTCTCGTTCACATTTCTGTTAAATTCAATGCACGGCATTTACAGTCAGAAAAATGAAGAACTCGTGAATATTGTATGCATATATAATTCATATATTTGTCATACAACAAGTGACACGTACCTCACGTGACTCACTACAATATGCTCCCATTTAGACGTCATCTCTTTCAGGGAAGACCCTGCATTTTTCAACACGATAATGCCAGACCACATTCTGCAGCAATCACAACATCATGGCTACGTAGGAGAAGGATCTGGGTACTGAAATGGCCAGCCTGCAGTCCAGATCTTTCACCTATAGAGAACATTTGGCATAATACAGAAGTCCTTTAAACTGGTCAGAGAAACCAAATAATGACCAAAAAATGTTGACATTGTTTAGATTGACCACAAACAGATTGGTGACTTTTTCCCCCTGTATATTCTGATTTAAGTATGTTTTATAAGCAACAACAATTAAAAATAAAAATATATATCTAAATAACTGTAATAGTATGCAAATTATTCCATGAGGGATGTAAGACTCTTTGGAGAAATATTATTATTCGTACAGAAGCAACTTTTGTCCAATTTTTATGTTGAAATTATAATGTGTATCTGTTTTTTTTCATTGAATTATTATTAAATATTAAGGATTTTCTATGCCTTATAATAGGGAAAATGTTGTGAGTGGTAGCACAGAGGTTAGAGAGGGTGGGCCTGTGATCAGAAGGTCACCAGTTCAACTCCCCAGACTGACAACATTAAAATGTGGGCGGCAATGGTGAAACACCCACACCTTTCTCCACCCTCATTTGCCCCACTCCTGGCCTTTAACCCCCACCATCTTGTCCCCCGGGCGCCCTGGATGACAGCTCTCTGCTCCACAAAGATGGCTGTGGCAGCTCAGTGGTCGCAGCAGGAAGGACATCTGGCGTAAAAATCAATTGCCAAGTCTTCATGCGAGTTAGTTTGCTGTGGCGACCCCTGAAGGAGGGAGCAGCCGAAAGATGAATAAATAAATAAATAAATAAATAAATAAATAAATAAATAAATAATAGGGGAAATGTCTCATAGGATTTGGTTAAATAAATTCATGAACTGCAATGAAAAAGAAAGTGTGAGTGATGTGTAGAAATGAGTGTACATATATTGATATGAATAATCTTCTGGTTTTTGTTTGTGTGGTTGCGTATTTATATAAATGTGTTTATGAATGCTCATTATGATTCTGTGTTTCAGCTGAACCTCTGATCTGGTTTCCACTTATCTAACAATCTGCTACAGTCAGCAAATCTAACGTCTAAACACGCTAAATGTTCATACCTACTGTGTGCTTTCTTTGTGATGATTGAGTTGTGTGGGTATCTATTGTGTGTCTTTCAGAAGAGTGGGACACGTTCGCTTTTGTTGGTGTCCTGTATCTTGATAGACCATCTCATATCTGTCTCATCATCCTAAATATTTTTTTTTCTTTCTGGTTCCCACTGCAGAGTTTTCAGCAAAAACAGAAGATAAAGATGGGAATAGTTTTGGTTTCCAGCTTCTGGCAGGAGCCAGAGTTACAATTCTGGCCTCCAAGACCTCCCGTGAGTTTGACAAGCACTACGCAGTTATCATGGAAGCTGGGCCAAATATAGTTCCAACTTTTCACCAGCCTCCCAATACAAATCATATATACAGTATGTATGTATATATGTATATATATATATATATATATATATATATATATATATATATATATAT